AGAGCCCCAAAATATGGAAACAACAGCAAGTTAGAGAAGAGCAAGTTTAAAGTGGTTGACATCATCACCTATAAAGATCATTAGAAAATTAAGACCCAATATGTTAATAAAGCAGAACTTAYAAAAGGTGAAAATCCCGTGACCCGGTGTCCATTTTAAGTGTAGCCTCAAGAAGAAGCTTTTGTCTGCTCTTAATGTACCAGGGGGCTGTTAGGCCTGGATTAAAGTTGTATATTCTAATTCTCTTTCAGATTAGCCTGATTGATGAGGCATCAACACCACAAAGGGGGGTGAGGTGTGCACACCCCATGTCCATCGGGTGTTCTCACTGCCACACTCCCTCCTCTGGCCCCATCCCCTTGGAGGAGCAATCCCATCCCCAGTTCAGGGCATTATTGCCCTGCCCTATAATGGATCCCATGGGATTGAAGGATCTCCCCTTTTGGCTGGGGACAGATGGGCACTGTCAGCCCACACTGGGCACACACACCAAGCTTTACCAGGAAGGAATCAATCCATTGCTTTGCCAACGTGCCCAGGGTACATCCAGCCTGGATCTCCCTCCCGAGCTGCAGGGAGTGATCACTGCCACCACTGCAGGATCCCAAATTGCTTGGATAACTATTTCCGTGTTACTGTGGATACAGCAAACGCCTCAGACRCGTTTCAAAGCACAAAAATGCCACCTTGAGGCAAAAGCTGACGCTGGTGACGGCGCGGTTGGTCGGTCCCAAAGCAGGGAGGGCACTGGGCTGGCAGTGCTTGGTCCATGAGTGACACCCACCATGGGCACCCCCTGCTCCTGCACCCTTCCTGCACCCTCTCCTGAGCAGCTCCTGGCACGGTGCCTGCTGAAGCCACCGATGCCACCCCAGTCCCCAGCCCCGCTTTGGGGACAGGAAATGTTCCTGGTGAGCAGCTGAGTGTGAGCAGCTCTGCTCCACACCCATGGGACACCAGCCTGACCCCACTGAAGGGAACTGCCATTCCAGGGACAAGGAAAAGCCTCAAGCCCTCCATGCCCAGCCCAAGCCCAGCTCCCTTTGGGGCACAGGCAGCCCGTGGGTGCCCTCTCCTGCTGTCACCGTGCCCATCCTGCTCCGTGTCCTCTCCTGCCTGGACCAGCAATGCACCCCACAGGATATAATCTTTGAGCTCAGGGTGAGCACAGAAAATCTCCAATTATGGGAGAGGTGATGGACCCACAGGCACAGAGCACTCTGCTCGGAATCAAACCCCTCCTGGCACTGCCAGCCTGGAGAGCAGCACAGGGCTGCCCCTTTTCCCTGAGTGCCCTCAAAAATTCCAGCTCCCCAAAAAGGACAACACCTGCTC